GGGGTGGAGGGGGTGGAGGGGGTGGAGGGGGTGGAGGGGGTGGAGGGCTGGCGGCATCCAAGGGAAATGAAACAGATGTTGATTGACATGCGGTGACATGCCTAACAATTGTAGGGTATTTCTTAGGGATTCGCTTTTCTGAATATCGTGGTGTCAGCAATCCTTTTTCGAGATTCTGAAGTCACCTCCGTTCTTGTTCTCGGCTGCACGAGGTTCCACTTGACGCCGGGCACCGGCACCGGCACCCCCCCGGTCGCCCCCCACGTCCTGTCGCCGCAGGCCGGGCAGATACTGCAGCTAGACGTCTTCCCCCTGCGGGCGCCCGGTTGGGGTTTGCGACTTCGGACGCTGTGCATCGCCCCGCCTGCGCCCAGAGGGCTCGACGGGGCGGAAAAGCGCGGCCTGGGGGGGTGGATCTTGGTGCCGCATCTCCTGTGGCGTGTCCCTCCATCGAGACCTTGCTTTATTTTTGCATCCTTTTTTCAATTGGAGCCACGAGTTGTGAGGGGGTATAGGTTGTCAGAGGGATTTGCTGGGACTTTTGGATGGTGTTGTAGTGCGTTCGCCTTTCTATGGAGCTTCAGCCATGCAGAGGACAAGCTCTTGAGGTCGTGAACTTTCCACAAAAAGGGTTTGCTGGACTTTTTGTGCAGGGTCTTGTTGGCAACAGTCTATGTTCTTTTTGCATGCTGCTAGATTATTTTCCGTTGATATGGGTGAATGGTTTGCGTGTGATCCGTGCGGAAGCTTGAACACCACCTTGATGACATCAAACGTGTTTTTGCGATTTCATCTCCTTTGCGTGACTTCGATTTCTGGCGGGGTAGCTTAGGTTGCAAGACTTGTTGGCTGCCCTGGAGTCACGTCATTCCTCCGTGGCTTTCAGTGAAGCAACATGTGTCACATGTCCCACGCAGAACAGTCCTTTGGAGGGCGAATGGTGCGGCGTCTTGGCTCCAGTCGTCTTCGCCGAAGAAAAACAAGGCCAGAGAAGCGTCCAAACTGGCGATCCTTTGATTTGGAGGGCAGATTTGTCCACCTCTCTCTCTTTTTTCCAAAGTAGTGTCTGCAGGCTCAGCTGTCCGCACCCCAACAAGGGATTTGGAGACACCCAAGCCGCTCGCCCCGGTGCGGGGTGTGACCGGCATGTTGGGCACCGAGCCCGGAACCATGGGTTCCTCGCCTGCTCGGAAGCCCAGCCGAAGCGGGACAACGTTGAGCCGAACTGGGGGCGAGTTGCTGGCTGCGCTGGTCGTTTGTCTGAGTTGTCGGAATGAATCTCGATAGGGGTGGATATATAAGTGCACAGGGATAGGGTATGTGTATTTTAATTTGGTGCAGCTTGCACGTTTGTGGGTGGGTGTGGATTCAAGATCCTATGCTCGGTGCTCCATTCTCCTTGAAAAGCCTTTTTCCAAGGCCCGGGCAAGGTCCAAATCATCAGTTGATCCTCATGGTGGTGATAGATTTTGACTACAAATGGCTACACTATCTAGTCTCAACAGGAGTCATTGACGTTTTTGTGGCTGAATTTGGTGTAAGATGGGCCGTGTTTCTTTCGTGTTTTCGCCCCGGCACCAAGAAAAGACGGTGAAATACCTTGCGTCCAAGGAGGAGCGGGCACAAGTCCTGAGCAACAGACTACGCTCGATGCCTCCGATTTGCAAATACAAGGGCCTGGGGCCTCATGTTCCAAGCTTGGGGATGTTGCAGTTCGGTGCAGTGAACGGTGCACTGAGTTGGTGCCACCGAACGAGGCAGGGCAGGAGTCTCCATTCACGACTCCAGCCCCCAAAAAAAGCGAGGAGAACGTGGATGGTTGGGATGGATTTGGAGTTAAAGAAGAACAGTCACACAAAACAGGATGTGTTTAGTAAAAAGGTACCCCAAATCCAGATCTGCAGCTGGGATCCAAAGACTGGCCCCAGGTCCAAGCTTCAATGATGGTTGGGATTGCCCAAGTGATGGCAAGCTTGCCCCCTGTCATATCAGGCGCTCCCTATGCATGACAGGTGGTGAGAGAGATGGCTGTGGTCATGGTGGCAGGTGATGCCACATACACACATACATATGTATATATATATATATATATATTATATTTGTATTGTACGACATATACCAACAGAGGTTGAATGACCCTATAGACTATCCCATAGGTACCCCAGGTTACGGGTCCTAGTTCAGGTCACTTAACCTCTTTTGGTAAGTATAGTTATATATGGGCTATATTGATACATCTTTCGCTTTATCCCCAGGGAAAGCTTCCGGGACTTGGCTTCCTTCGAGGTGTCCCGCTGCGTGTGAGCACATTCTCACCATCGATCCAGCGCGGTCGCGTCCCCGGGTCGCGTCCCCGAGGTTTCATCCCGGCGACCCGGGAGTTGTGTGGAGAAACCTTCACCCAACAGTGCCAGAGCCTTGGAACGAGCTGGACGTAAGTAAGTCAGGAGCTGGACGTAAGTAAGTCATGAGCGAGAGAGTGGCGGCGCCCCCACCCCCCGGTTTTCGCCCCGGAGGCTTCAGCGCACGCGAAAACCGGCGGACGGGAGGCGCTCATGCAATGGAGGCCGGGGAAGGGTGGAGGCCAAGACTCATCGGATCTCATCGGTTGAGCAAACCAATATATATATATATATGTGGGTTTTCACCAGTACGACGTTGCTTTTCCAACGCACGAGCCATCTTTTCTGTGTCAGAACTCATGGATGGATAGAGAAACAACTCATTGGTTGGCTCCGTTTGGCTTGTTTTTCTCCTTCCATTTGTGTCTGAAAGAGCCAAGAACTCACTAAACCTGAAGCGAGCGGTCTGTAACGCCCTTGTTCAAAAAATATGCCCTTCTGCAAGCAGTCTACCGCCTACCGCCAGTGCTTGGAACATCTGGCATGCAGTCCCGGCCACATCGAACCACCATACGTGCAGAGCTCCCACGGGTGCCACACGATCCTGCATCATCACCATACCGCCCCCAAGGATGATTTGGAACACTCGTCAGCGAATTGGGCCCCTCAACAGTGCACACCAGCAGCTAGATCCGCCTGGCAGACTTGGAGGCCATCGCTACTAGGGCCTAGGGTGGAGGCCATTTCTACTAGTAGCTAGAAGCTACTAGGTTGGAGGCCATCGCTACTAGGGACGACCTCGACTTCGATTGACTCCTTCAGGCGTGGACGAAGAATGGCGTCGGCGCAGCAGGCGGTTTCAGCGTCCGCGGGACGTTCATCGGGTGGGTCGGAGATGAGAGCATCGGGAGGTTTTCAGACGTGCGTCTTTTTTGATTTCTGAGCCCAGAGTGATCATCCAGAGCCCGGTGTTTTCCTGGGATTTTCGCATTTGGGTCAGTCGTCCTGGGAGTGTGAAGGGGCAGACATATCGGAAATGGGATCAAATGCCACTTGTTTGACAGGGATTTGGTCCTTGGTGGATCAACTATGATCAACTAACACACTTCCAACTCTCATGGGGTCCTGCTTCTGGATCTTCTGGGACATTCTGGGACTTGTTTGTTTGACCAGGACATCACTCTCATCGAAGGTGCTCTCAGGAGAGGATCATCAAGATAGAGTGATTCACTGCAACATCTTCTGCACTGGCTCCAAAGCCGGGGGGGGGTCTACTGAAGCATACCCCCGTCTACTGAAAAAAACCATCAGCAGATCGACCCGGCACCTTCGGCTCTAAGAAACCCTCGCACTGCTCGCGCCGGGTCCAACCACAGCGGACCCGGCGGATCGGTCGACCGGGCTTCCGCGGCGCCTGCGCTCGCACGGCTCCCGGTTAGGTCGGATCGTCTTCAACGGCAAGGGCCTGCGGCCCGACCTGCAGGCGCCCGGTTCCAGCGAGTGAAGGTGCTTCTTTTTCCCCGTTCTTGAAAGTGCTACTTTCTTTTTTTGGGAGGAACGGAGGGAGCCTGAAAAACATGATGAACATGGTCCAGACTTGTGTACATCCAAGGGGAAGTTTGCCATGAAGAATTTGTTTAGACATTGTGCAGAGTCTACATAGAGGAATTGGGACCAGCAGAACTTGCAAATGAGGTACTGACGGTAGTGAGGTAATTGTGATAGCTATGAGAGCGTGACTGTTGGGGCAGCGACGATGCATCCACCCAACAAAAAAACGGTTGAACGTTTACATGACATGAAATGAACACATTACGTTAAATAAATCGACATGAATGAAGGGATATTGGGTCTGAGCCGCTCGTGGCTGCATGGATTCCGTATTCTTCACACCCACGCGAGAGCGCAAGGAGCTTCATTCGCCCCAAGAGTGTCGTGCTGGTCTAGCGTCGGCCCCAAGGTCGTTCGTAGAGTTCGTTCAGAGAAGCGGGGATGAGCATTTGTGGGCGAAAAACACATTTTTGATGCACATATAGATACGAATGCATATGCACATATATATTCCCCAATATATATATATATATACAATACATATATATATATATATATATATGTATGCACTTGTTTACCTCTCAATATGCATTTCAGAGCAATTGGCAACATGGCAGTTTGATGTCCGTCAAAGCACCCTCTGGAGAGGAAACAACACAATGAGTAGACAATATAACATACCGATTGATCCGCAACAGCCTTTTCTTGTGTTGTAAGAATGTATCTCGCCCTGAATTCCTGTGGCCCTTTTGTGTTACCAAGGATGTCCTATTGTCAGCCCGGGTGCGGGCTGCCAGCGCAATCAAATGGATTTGTTGAAATATCAAAGAATATGTGGACAACATTGGACAACCAGCGGCCGGAAATTACCATAGTGGCAAATGGTGGTGCAATGTGGTACAGGAAGTTGACCGCTGCGACAGGAAGAACGTGCAGCCCAGTGGTGACGAAGAGTAAGAACATGTGTTGATTTTCCATACCAACTTGCCTATGCCCCACATCAGCAAGATATGCTGGTGACCTACACAAGCTACCACCTGTGTGGTTCCCCTTTGTCAGAGTGTGTTGCGCTACGGCTAGACTCTCGCCAAGAAAGGGAGAGAGAGAGAGAGAGGGAGAGAGAGAGAGAGGAACGAGAGAGAGAGAGAGAGAGAGAGATTGCTGAAGCTTTGAATCGGTGGATGGCAACGCTGGTTCCGAAGGGGAGGGCTTCCAAGAGGCTCATACCATCGGTTGAAAGGGGGGGGCGGGGGGGGCTCTGAAATTCAGACGGAATCGTCTGCCTTCCCTCAGCCGTTCTTCCACTAGCTTCTTGATCCTAGTAGTACGGCCAGGAGCCCTAGTAGCGTCCTTGCTCCTAGTAGCGATGCCAGGAGCGAGGCAGCACGCTGATGTCGTCCGAGATCCCAGGGAACAAGGTCCGACCTCCTCCCCGCCGTCCTCTCGGCGACCAGACCTCGGGTCCGCCGCGGGCACCAATAAAACAGGACTCGGTGTGCCAATCCTCAGAGAGTCTTTGATCCTCAAAAAGCGGGAGATCATCCCAGAAGGTGCGAGGAGCGTCCGCACCGACGACATGGGCCGGGCTTTGAGGTCAAGCAGACGGCCGGGCTCCCACCAGGCGGTGGGTCGGATGGGTCGTGTGTGCTCACACCGTGCGACCAGTGGGTCAAGTGCCAATTGAGGCGCCATATTGGTAGGCTCAACCACCTGTTGTGGTGGGATCCAGGTGGGTTTCCGCGGTGTTTCCTCTAAATCACTCTAGATCTGAATTACTGTATCTTTGGGGATCATTTATCATCCTTGGAGTCGTTTTCCAGAGGAGAGCCAATAGCGAATCCCAGACCCTAGAAAGATGATCATCAAAGGGGCAGCGTGACCATGTTGATGGGCGCGCCGCTGGTTGCAATGGTGTTCTTGGCAAACACATCTAATTAGATGGCTGCGCAAGAAGCACATGCACTGATCATGGGTCGCCCGCGTGCCTATGTAGCGTGGTTTGGACCCGCACTGCTACACTGCTGACAGGTGATGAATGCGAGCTTCATCCCGCCGATTGAGCAGAGGCGCGAGGGCACAGGCTGCCACAGGTGCCGAGGAATATGTCGCCTCAAAACTTAAGATTATTGAATGTATTTAGATATTACGTCAAGATCTCAACCTCCAAAACGAGGAAGGTAGGCCATTGTGGTCAGCTTCGAGGGTGTATAGTGGTGTACACACACATATAATCACACACACAGATAATATATATATATATATACAAGCTATGTTGAGCGCACGATGTTGAGTCCGACATCTTCTACAAAATCAACGCTTTCCACTTCCAAACCCAAATTAGCAGCTAGATACTAGGTTGGAGGCCATCGCTAGTAGGTTGGAGCCCATTACTACTAGTAACAAGAAGCTACTAGGAACAAAGGCTTCTAGGAGTGCTTCTAGGTTGGCGACGGAATCTTAGCTCCGTCCCTCTTTCCAGGACGGGCCGCTTGGAGCCTGCCAGCATGGAGGCGAGAAAAGGGGCCATGGATGCGCGCGCCGCGGTAACCCACGGCGAGGGTTTTCTGCGCGAATGGCCAGATGTTCACGATAAACCGGAGGACTTTGGACCAACTATCAATCAGCCTTTTGTCCAACAACACTCAGCAGGTATGTGGGTTTGGGGTTTTCTCCCCAAGACAGTCGTATGGAGTTGGGGGAAGCTTAGTCTAGTCAGTCTTGCGCCAATTTTGACGGAGCCCGCGTATGATGAATCAGATCTCCAAACATAATTTGTGCACGATTGCTTTGCTGAAGCCATAGCCTTCTGTAGTTTTTAGGCGTTGGAGTGTCCCTGTGGGATAGCTGTGGGATACACTAGCAGTTCTGGCAGTCTGTAGAGAGGGGGAAGAGGGAGAGAGAGATACCGCAGAGACCGACCAATGGGTGAAACTTGGTGCCCACATGCAGCCACCGAGTGAAATCGTATCAACGTTCCAACATCTGCAGAAATCCATCGGGGTTCTAGATCCAGAGAAAGTTGATATGATTTCGATTCCCGGTTGTGTGACCGCCGATGACTCTGCCGGAAATGAGATCGACATACCAAACCCAGCGCATCCTTCTCGGATGCTCACCAGCTTTCAGAGGAGAAGCTCATCCCTAATTCCTCACTCGAAGCCAACTTCTCTGAACCTGGCGCCCGGTACTGTCCCGGGTCTTCAGGCCGCGGGCTCCAGATCCTTAACACGGCGCTTCCAGAAGCTCCGCTTGGTCGGGTGGCTCGAGCTGCGGGTGCGATGGCGCACCCGCCGACGGCTTGAGAGACATGGGCTCCGGGTGAGCAGATCCTGGAAAAGACAAGAGGTAAGGTAGACCACGAAGGGAATTCGCAGCTCGTAGGTCCTAGTGCAGTAGTACAGCACTCAGACTACACCTGCACACTAGGGTTGATTATTTTGGAGGTGCTGTCGAACCAAACCGCCGGATCGCCGCTGTTCTTTCAATTTCAGGAGAACTATCGGCACGAGATCATGGAGTCCATCCGGAGGGGCGTGCCTTGAAAAGGGGTCGTGAGGAAGGAATGGGAGGGGGGGGGGGGGGGGGGGGAATCGATGGGATGGAGCAGTGCAGTGCAGGAGCCTGGACTCGGGAAGGACTGCGTCTTGACGGGGTTCTGCATGGTTCTGCGAGTCCCTAGCCAGAGTCACAGGCAGGTTGTGAGGGTGTTCTCAAAGGACTGAGGTGGTCATCGGTGAAGCACGAGTGTAGGGTCAAGTGAATCAAATAGTTCAGGCTTCCAAATGTTTGCCTTGAGGCAGTTAAGGTGATCGACTGTAATTATACATATATATATATAATATATATAAATACATATTTATGCAATACCATATTTTGGTGGCTTTCATAGCCTTGAGGGTCATATTTCTGAGGATCAAAGGTTATCCTGTTGTGAGTTTCACCACCCACGGATATCCACGGGGATCTCGCTGCTCCATCCGCTTGGAGAAGAGTCTAAACCGACGTCTCCGACGTCCACGTCCCACGGTCCCGGCGTACACAGCCGGCAATCCTCCCCAAATCATGTTTCACCTGGATTTTACATCAATATATTCAATATATATATATATATACATACATATAACTATATAACTCTATGGTTGTTCATCAAACATAACTATCATTACCATCATCAACTTGAATTTGTTATTGTATTGTTTTCACATCATCATATAGTGGAGAGCCTCAAGCAGAGCAGGTTTCCGGGTCAGCCACGACCAAGGAACCCAACGCCGGGAGGCGTTAGTGAACCCGTGGTGAGTCTCTTGGTTCTCCGCCTGTACGCGGCACGCCCAAAAGACGCCGCCGCTGATTTTCGATGGCTCGCCTAAGGCGGCCGCGGGTCTGCGTGTGTTGGGAGACATTCCACGAATGCACGAGTGTGTGGAAAAGGCAACATCTGGGGGTTGAGAACATGTGTTTTCGAAGATGGGTGAAATGATGATTTCATTAGTGTGTTTGAACCATATTTAACAACCGCCTTCCAGGTATGGGATGGTATAGGACCGGTGCTTGAGGGAGACCTGGCTCAGTTTCACACGAAGAGGATGTTTGTTTAGCTTGGTGGAGCTGCAATGTCAAGAGCTGCGATGTCAAGACAAGCTTTTCACATCATTTCCCTGATGCTCTGGTCATGTCATCAAACCTTTGATGCATGTATCACACGGTTTCCGCTGTGTTCGCCGACGGGGCCCCTGAAGCCGGAGGACTGGACCCCAACAGGTCGAGACCAGGCCTGCGCAGGTCGATGAAACGAACCAAACATGGCCTGCGTGTATGGCATGGCCTGTCGGAAGACCATTTTTCATCATTTTTCCTCTAGAAGCAGAGCCCCTTCTCCACTTCCACAGGGAAGCAGTCATTTGGTGAGTTGCGTCAGGGTCCATGAGACCAAGGGTAGAGAAGTTGGAAGACTGTTCACCGAGGAAGGCGCAGCTCATCAGCTTTTTAATATACTGATCCCATTCTTTTTGGAGAAGTTGAAGCTGAAGCATTGCCACCAATACAAGGGCAGGATCAGGACCATGGCTCGCGCAGTGTGAGCCAACAACCCTCTTGATGACTCTCCGTCTGGTTTTGAGGGACATCGCGCTTCAGAGCCTCCAGCTGCTAGAAGATTGGGACTGTGAGGGTGTTTGCTGCAAGTGCCCAGTTCTGGGCTGCCAGTGCATGGCCCCATGGCCCCCTTAGCCGCTTTTGACCACCCATGGACCTCAGCAATGTGTACAAGAAATGGTGGACCTGAGCCGCCATGGACCACAAAAAGAATTGGATAGGGAGGTGTTCGAGATGTCCTGATGCTTCAGTTCTTGTTTAGCAGCTTGCTTAGCGTGATGCGCGTTTTATTACCAAGCCATTGGAGATCTTCCCAAGTCACAGCAGCTTTGCAGAACACACAACGCTCGGAGAGTTTTTGGATACACTTGCGATGGCTGCCGTGGCGAACGGATGCCATGCCAGATGTTGGGAGCCCGGGCCCCCCCAGTTCTCTTGTGTGACTCGCGTGCTTTTGCTGCATGCAGAAACCGCCCCCCCAAATCTCCATATCACACTGGCGATTCTCCAGAGAACGAAAGTGGTGTTGAATACATGTTTTGCAAGACTGACTCGATGTCTCGATGTTGGCCACTGGAAGTCCTGGTGAATCACCCAGCGTTTCTGCCTCATTGACCCCCCCCCTGGCCCCGGTCATCCCCCCCCTCGGTCCTAGTCCCCCCGGCCGTCGGTCCTTTCCACGGCGGGTGGCTGTTGCCGGAGCCACCGGAGCGAGGCGACGAAAGGGGAGTGGGAGGAGAGGGTGTGGCGGCCCAGTCGCGCGGAATTTCCGCGAGCAGGGTCGGAAGATGCAAGCGCGGGCCAGAGTGGCTGTCATGCTGAAAGGGACGCTGGCAGAGCACTCGACTTCATCTGGCTATCGCTCCTCAACAAAATCGGTAATTACTCTTGATGCCATCCAGCTCCATTGCCACTGGTGAATTGAACAAGCAACTATATCGTCCACCAACTGCCGGTCCCCAGGTGGAACTGGCTGCCAGCTTCCTCACGCACCCTACAGCTCGGCGGAGTTCGGGGCCCGGCGGAGTTGGCAGGAGGTCAGGAGGGGGATCCAGTCACGGGATGAGTCTTAAAACATTTTAAACATCTTAAAACTCAACAGAGGATTCAATTTTTGTAACGGAGGGACAGAGGGACATCTTAACCCCTTTTTCACATCTTAAACACATCTTAACATCTTAGCACTCAACATCGCCCTTTTTTGGAACAGAGGATTCCATTTTCTGGGTGAAGCCCTTGGGCCCCAAGCGTCGCCGCGGCCGACTGTGGGTTCGGAGGTGGAGCTAGTTTATCTATATCTCTCTCTCTCTCTCTATATATATATATATATATATGCATGTCCTTTTTCTGCGGCGGGTCGATCGACGGTGCATTTGGAGCTGTACCCAGTGATTGATTGACAGTCTTTGATCTATTTGGCAAAGACCCTTTTGACATCCAGCGGGAGGTGGGTGCTGGGTTGGACATGCCAGGTGCATGAGTGTCTTCAGGTCTTCCTGCCACTGCCAACTGGGTACACCTTGAGCCAGCCCTGTTACTGAAAGGGCCTAACGGCCTAGACCTCAATTGGTGACGAAGCCGTGGTGATGTCGCAAGATGCACGGGGGGGGGGCGACGGTTCGATCGTGCGCTTGCACTTGGCTTTCGAGGCGAGTGGGCAGTGCAGAAGCAGTTCCTGCTTGCGAAGGTGGAGAGGGTAGGTGCTATCATGGGTGTCCCAGAACTGGACGCAAACCCAAGCAGCTGGAGCTGGAAATCCCACCCAACCCATTGTTCGAGTTATGGCTCTGCATTGCGCCGCCCACGAGAGATGGGTGTGGAACTCCAACTCGCGACTCCTGGTTGAGCAGCCTGCGTCGTTCTGCGTCATGGCCGAGTTGTGCAGGCTATAAACGCCAGAGTTAAAACATATGAAAATGATTGAAGACAAGCTTGGCGTCCCAAGCTGGTTGGACAAGGAGATTTGTATAGATCAAAACCCATGTAGCTTTCTATCCCAAAGTTTCAATCGCTCAGAACTGCGAGTAAAAGTTGGTCGAACCAGTCTTAAACATTCTTTAACATCGTGTGGTGTGTTGTGCCATCGACGTTCGCTGATGGGCCCCCAAATCACTGCTGCTCCAGGGTATTTCTCACCATGGTGACGAGTTAGAACGTACACGGTCACAACGTCTCCTGGATTATGGGCACGGTCGCAGCGGTCTAGTTCATGTCCCACCATACAGGTGTTATGGTTCTCCATAATTATGGACCACGGACGTGTAGTTGCTCCTGGCCACGGACACTGCGAGTCTGGTCGTCTCCTGGTCCTTCGGTTCTGTCGGCTTCGGCACGCCCTTTCGGTCGGCGTGCTTGAACATGCTTCTCAAAAGCACGTGGCGTTACAACGTCCATGTGGGCCCCCACCGGTGGCGGCGTCGCCCCGGCACGGAGACGTGGAGAGCGCGCGGGCGCACGAGCGCCGAACGAGCGCTGGAGCGAGGGCTTCAGCGAGGACGAGGTGCAGGAGGCCCACCTGTTGCACCTCACCGGCCGCGCGCCGTCGGGCGCCCTGGGTGCTTTCGGGAGTGCCACCGGCCCGGCCGGTGGAGGAGGTCGGTTTCGGGGGCACCGGGTGGTGGATCTGGTGCGACAACAGCACAAGGATAGGTGAATGGTGATCCCATGGGAATAGCCATCTGGGCGTGGGGACCTCCCTACTGTCGGAGATAAGATTCTCATGGGAGGGATGCATATAGTATCATTTAGTGATGCCCTATGCCCTATACTTGTATGGGATGACTGAAGATCGATGAGAGAAGAACGACCAGACCCCCTGTCACAAGAGAATAGAGATGAATAGCTAGGCACTGTGCCAATCTTTACATCTCTTACCCACCTGGTTTGCAAACTCAGAGCTCGCGCCGAGGCAGTGGCCTTTGACACCCAAAGCGGCACCCTGACTCAGATGTGGTGCGTGTGCACACCACAGGGATTTTCTTGGGTGGTGGTTACTGGTGGTTGTGCTCACAGTCCTTGGGTGGTCCAACTTGGGGACCTGAAAATCATTCGTTTTGGGACGGTCAAGTCCTAGTTTCAGGTTCCCCCACTCGTTCTTTGCAGGTGTGGGGGTTGATGACAAACAACTCTGGGCAGCTGCGGGAGGCTGCTGAGAGGGGACCTGAATGGCTCCTGAGGTGGACTGGCCCTTAGCGGAGCCGGCGCCCCTGCAGGTCGGCTCCCGGTCTGGTCGCCGAGGGTCGGGCAGAGGACCTTTGCTCCTCCTTTCACCTGGACCGTCCAATTCGCGCGCCTCCGTGCTCGAGGAGTCCTTGGTGACCCCGTCCGGATCGACGGTCCCTGGTGGTCAGAGCTGTTCGGTGGACAAATGAGGCCGCCCCTGGCTGGCCCAATGAGTATAACCTACCCAGTCAGAGGATAACCTTTATATACAAACGTTTTTTTGGGAGCGAACAGGTAGGTACAGTAGAAACAGGTTGATCTTTATTTTTCCAGGGAAACGACTCAGGAGTCAGATAAGTTGATGGGAGTCCAGGAGTCAAGAATCTTCAAAACTTTGGCACCCTTTCGTGGTGTGACATCATACAGGGATTTGAGTCACTTTCCATTGGGGAGGTTCCCCTCAATCACTGATCCGGAGGTGATTTCTGTCTGTCATGTGGTCTCAATGATTGATTATTTAGATTGCCATTGGAATGGTCCTGTTTCAAACTCCAAGTGCTTTTGGCCATCGCTGTCGGCAGTCGCTGGAGCCTGGTATAGGCACTCTGGTGAGTCTCAAATGGCGGTGATGGGTGTCACTTTGATCGGCTTGGCCTGGGGATCTTGGACTCGATCTCACCAAAGACATGGGATCCCAAAAGCGTCCTTGGCGGAATTCTGAAGTCCTTGAAGTCCTGCTCAAGAGGCATTTTCATGCACCTACACCGCCCACACCCATGAGCAGGCCGTGTCTCCCACTTCTATTCCCCGCCTCGAATCCAACCCTCAGGCTGAATCTGGTGAAGCGCTGGAAGGCCGGATGGAGGGCATCAGGGCCCCACCCCGAAAGGCAGAGCTTTCCAAGCAAAGAAAAGCATCGAAAAGCGCAAATCAATGATGCGCCGAAGTCTGAGGTTATGCGGTTAGCAGAGCGAACGTCCTGCAATCCAAAGTTCTGAGTTGAATCCTCTCGACAGAACCGCACCCATGTTTGGGTGAGGGTGAAGGGTCATGGAGGAAAGAAATCAATCGAAAAGGGACAAGGGTGATCACGACCAGAAGTGTTTTGTATCATTGTTTGGCATTTTCGTAGCTAACCACTTTGACCAGCGCTAGCCAGCTGCCCAGAAGCGCTAACCAGGGCTGTGAAACTTCCCCACGTTGCGATCTGCAGGCGAGCAGTCTAGCAGCACTAGCAGCAGTCGGAGAGCCAAGCTGAGAGGCCAAGCAGAGACGCTTATAGAATAATATGCAATAAGATACCAATGGCCAGGAGTCACAAAGGGGTTGTTTTTAGTACCTAAGTGAGTGGAAAGTGGGCACCCCTATCCTCCAAGCTCGGCACCCCTTTGTGACTGCTGGCCTCTAACAGTCGTACTTGGCAGGGCCTTTTTTCGCACACTGACGGTGTTTCACTCTGCGGGTGTTGGCGTGGCGCGTCGTGGCTCTCGGTGGCCGGGAGGTGGGGCCGGTGGGGCTGGTGCCAAGGAAGCCCAACCCCGCCCCACTGTCGGTCTCAGCACCGCGCTTTTTCTCCAAGTCCTTCCAGAAAAACCAACGTCTCGAGGCTCCGGAAACCGAGGCTCCAGCTCCAGTGACAGCTCCAGCTCGGATGACGCCGAAGGCGACGATGAAGACGAAGAAGACGAAGGCGGCCAGGGATCCGCGCGACTAGCGCGCGCACGCACGCGGGGGAGCCGCTTGGAGACGCCCCCGACGAGGACCTTGCGAGTGCTGGGAGGATACTATGTCGATTGGCCGTGAGATTCTCGTGACCCTCCAGCGACGAGATTGGGCAAATTGCACCCCCCTTGTAAAAGCCATTGGTCAGGAGTGGCGAGTGGCCCGTTTGTTCAGGCATGATGTCGGCCGAGTGTGCTTGCTTCTGTCCCAGCTCCGTCCTTCCATACATGTCAGGGTCCGGGAGGGAAGTTAAGTGTCGTCGCTACCAGTAGTGCCAGAGCTAGGAGTTTCTTGTATACAGGAGAGTTTGTGGGTGAACAGCTTCCGTGCGAACGAAGCCTTTCCGCTGAACCACTGCAGCTTGTGACTGCAGCTTTAGGAGCTGCTAGAGCATTGCTTATATTGCTTGGACTCACGCACCTCTCAAGGGAAGCCAATCTTGCCAAGTCCATCCCACTCCAGGTCCTGCTTTTGTTTTTGCTTGGTCAGATGCTCAGATGCTCAGCTCTGACTTGGCTGGGGTGCCTCCATGTGCCACCCGAGCTTCCCAGTCCAACTCACACCACCATTGGGGCTCGGCGAGTTGGTCCCCCATCCCCCACCGTCAAAGACCGTCCTCTGCACCAGGCATGAAGGGTGGGGGGAGACATTGGTAGGACCTTGTTGAGTCAGGTGCTGGCGGCAGAAGAGGCTTTGAAGAGGTCAGGTGGTGGAGCTTTCCATGGTCCTTGCTGTTTACTTTTTACAATCCTCACCTATGACCAGGTGCAGCTGCTGTGGAGGAGTGAATGTGTTTCTGCAGGGGGCGGGTGATGCCGCAGAGCTTTGTTGTTTTGTGATGTTTTCGCCCTGTCATTACAGGATCATTATGATGAGTGAGCGGGCGAGCAAGCGAGTTGTTTGTCTCGCGCACGCTTGTGATCAACTTGCCCAAAAAAACACGTACCAGTTGGTCGACTTCTGGGTTTGATGTCACGCTAAAAACCGGCCTGGACCGGCTGGGCAGATGTGGTAGTTCAGGCCGGGGGAGGGGGTCTTAGCTCCCCCCTCCAAAACTGTGGGGGGTTTCGGGGCGTGAGACCCTCGCCCGACCCTGTACCCAAGCCAACATGGTCATTCATGGAGGACATTGAAGACATGGACGAGACTATGCCTATTTGGGCTTTGCGAGCACCTCCGCCTACCGCACAGGGTGAGGAGAGGCCCCGAAAATGGCGCTGTATATGTGCTTTTTTTTCCCCTCCTCTTCCCCACCCAAGAGGGTCATTTCACGCCAGGACCCTGACAATCTGACCATAGCGTCTTTGCGAACACCTCCACCTGCACAACGTGAGGAGAGGGCCGAAGCTTTGTGTGTTCTGTCTTTAGCACTTAACATTGTTGATGGAGGACGTTGAACACATTGACGACAATATGCCTGTCTGGGCTTTGCAACGTGCTCGCAAAGCACCGCCACCTGCAGCACAGCATGGCCCAAAGGCTCGGCTCTGTGTCTCTGCGTTCTTGGCCCAGCTTCCAAAATGGTCATGTCACGCCAGGACCCTGACAATCTGCCCATAGCATCTTTGCGAGCACCTCCACCTGCTGCAGCACAGCGGAAGGAGAGGCCACAGGACAGATGCTGGCACATCCATGGGCCGGAACATGTCCCAGTAGTTCCAATGATCTGGGTGCACGGAGGGACGTCGGGGTGCCGTCCGACATTCGGATGGCAGGACATCTCGTCAAGCTCCTCAACTTCCTCTTCCTCTTCCTCAACGGCAGGAGGACCTCGCCGGTGTCTTTCACTCTCTCCGCCCTGTCGGACCGGCTTGGAAACACCAGGAATATCAAGTTCAAGGAGCCGAAAGGGAATTCCTTTTGCTGGATCTATATATTCAGGAAAGAAAGCTACATGAATTACATGAAAGATGATTCCTTCGAGTTGTTGATGTCTTTCTACGCTGGTGTGGTAGATATCAGCGCGCTGAAAAGCACTTGGAGGAGTGTGAACAAGTGAAATCCTTGCCATTTTGCTGATTACACGTGTTAATCAGTAGGTAGCAGAAACTTATGAGTCTTATGAGTCATCTTGCCCATCTAGTCACGAGGGTTTCAATGCCGCTTGGGTGTACATTATATCATTGGCACTAACTTTCAAGCAACACATCATGAAGCAATGTTAATTTCCTCGCCCAAAGTTTGGCGCAACACTGAACCCAAAGAGCCGCAACATAGATAGAAACGTAGATCCCCAGTAAACATGTACTTTTCGAAAACGGTTTCTATCTATTTGGGAACCACTATGTATGATTCATATCTGACCATAAGGTCTTTCCCTCTCCCACCAAAATCCGTTCCGTGGTGGGTTTGTCACGGCGCTGGAGTGGCTCCTTGGAGCTGATGAGTGGGGAGCCCAGTGGGCCCAATCGATTATACAGTGGCTTGAGAGGTTCGATGGCACAAGTTTCCCCAAGTTCGGTGGTTTATTATGGATCCCCATCTAAAGGACATCTTGGGGTGCCAGTGCCATCGAACCTCTGAAACCACTGTATAAGGAATCAGTGATCCCCTTTTCAGCACCACGGAACTGGTGGTTTACAGACACCCTGGTTCTAGTTCTCGTATGTACTCCTTACTAGGCGTTGCTGGTTGATGCCGTTTTCTTTTTTGGACAGTGAGGGCATCAAAAGACCATTGGACAAGACAGGATGTCTGCCAGAATTCCACGCCGACCCTGATGCAGAATGGGATCGGCCCCACCTTTTGCGAATCACCCGAGACTGAGGCCCCTGAAAACCGGTCCCCAAAGCAACACGCAAAGAGGTGTCACCCTTTTCAAGGCGCACAAAGAAAGCACTCACCTCAAGGGCTTCTTGGAGGCCGCCCACTGGGGTGGGGTGGCAAACGTCCGCAAACCGCGAACCCCAAACGAAGACACGGTCACCGCGGTCACCGCGGCCTCCGGTTCCGCACCTCCGATTGTCTGGGGTCAGGTGAAGCTGAAGCGCCGCCCGCGGCCGCGGGAACCGCGGGGACGCCGCGAGGGACCGGAGAAGGCCGGGGGAACGAAGGGTCGGGTTTTGGGGCGTCAGACCTGCAATGTCCAAAAGCAGAACGGAAAGGCTTGTGGAAGGGTGGGTGCCCATGTATGGGTCAAATCGCTTTTTTTTTGGGGGGGGTGGATGTTGAGCCATAGCGTTGGCAGACTCGCAAATGATTTGGCAGACTCGCGGTTGACAATTTATCACGCTTGACGTGATGGTGTTGAGAGCTGTTGAGCATTACTACTAGGAACTAGGACGCCACTAGTAACAAAGGGCATCGCTACGAACGGAGCGATCGGACGCTATACTAACTAAAACAAGGACCGTGACCGTCTTCGAAGACTCCGTGGAGCAGGGACTTCCGAGAGCAAGGACGCTACTAAACCCTAGGGATCCAAGTACCTTCTCAGAAGGTACTTGGACCCTCCTGGCACCTACATAGCAGGGTCTCCAATCACCGAACCTGAGAAGGTACTTGGATCCCTATAGGGAAAGAATCGGCCAAGAACTCCCATGGCCTCGAACCGGAGCTGGTCAGGTGGCTTGGCGCCGGTCGCGGCGGCCCGAACGGCCAAGCCCGTGGCTGTGGCGCCGGAGAGGGACACACAAGGCCCGGAGAGGGGTCAGAGCTGGGGCGAACTTGGGGGAGTCCAGGTCCCTTGACTATGGACCGTGAGTCGTGGACACTTCCCCACAGCCGTCCTCAGGTGTCCTCTTCCGCAGTGATGCGGAACTATGGCCACCGGAGATGGAGGTGGGAGACGTCGAATCCATGTTGGCCGAGGTTGTGTTGGGGCGCCTTGGGACTTTTTGGGGGGTTCTTTCGGGAGACATCCCCCCTCTCACCTGTACCTTTGGACTTTTGGGGGGTTCATGTCCATGCAGGAGAAAGACATCGAAACCGAAAATCACCTGCCTGCGTTGGTCAAGGGCTTGTGAGTGAACTGATGGCACACCATGGCCCGCGAAGGTCGTTCGGTCAAGGAGGTTTGGTCCCAAAATCGCAGCGTGAAACCCGTTGGTCTCGGTGTCCGACCACACAGCACACGAACGCAGACGCGCGCCGTGCCGACGTTGAGGATGTCGGTTCACGTGACGCCGTCTGGCGTGTGTTTTCCAGACTCTCCCAAATGGAATGGTGGATCTATTTGTAGTTGTTTGCTTGTAGTATGGTCACCAACTGGTCACCGCTTAGGCGAAGCCGCTGCTGCGGTCTCAGAGGAGGAAATTGAGGCGCGACCTTCTTCGGTCGATGAAATGCCTTAGCTCTTTAGTTCGCCAGGCGGGTGACGCGGGAGGTGAGGAAGAGCTACCAGGAGTGCCAAGAGGACATGAAAGAGCTGAAGGCGGGTTGGCCCGAAAAGGAGACGGTTTTAAGTTAAACATTGTTCTGTGCACTTGCACGAGGGTTTTTTACTCATTGCCGCATGACTGAGTGAAGCAGTCGAGCCGCCGTCTACGGCTACGCCGTAACCCCGGACCGTGATCATAGCCGTACCGTCGCACCCCCCTGCGTTCCATGCCGTCTTCCGTGCACGAAGAGACCTCATCGCAGGGCCGCATCTCTGGCTATCGCCGTGCTTGCACAGGCAGGGACGGGACTGGCTATGCACGACCCAACCCGCAACAGGTCCGAAAGTAAGGCCATGCGATTGAGGAGAGGTGATGCCGCCATCACGGAGCAAAGGGCTTTCCATGGAACTGTATTCCTAAGCCATGAACTTGTAGCTGTGCCTTACCTGCGGATAATACATACCCCTTACTTGGGTCCCTATGAAATGATCCTCCAGGAGTCTTATGAAATGATCTCCGGCAGTTCATTACATAAAAACAGAACTACGTAAAAAAGACAAAACAAAATAATGACAGTACTAACAATGTCTGAGACCAATTCAGCTATCATTATATAGAGATGAGGGGGTGGATGATGAAACATGTTGAGACTAAATTTAAGATCTTAATGAAACCTGGAGTAGATCATTTTAGAGAGATGTGTTTTGTGTTTCTTTTTTGTTGATTGAAGGATCTGTTGCTGGAGTTGTCATTTCATAAGAGTCATGGATCCAGCTATTGAATCATTTTATAAACCTCTCATGTTGATCGCCGCGCCTTCCTGTCAACCTCAAAAAGATGTATAAATAATGTTAATGTTGCCAGTAAAGGTTTGCTAAAGCAATTGAAATACATATGAAGACATCAAACAAAACATAACAAAGCAAGATATGATTTAATTCAAAATATCGCAGCTATATGAACATTGTTCGAATCTGCAAGTGGATTTTTTAAAATGATTTTTAAACTATATTATTGAAAGCGGATATTGTTCTTCTAAAAAAAAATAACATATTTCATCAAGTTTGAAGTGGTAGCCCAAAGATACCTGAACCATTTGGGCCCCCAGGGTTGCTGACC